TCAGAAATCATAGCATGTCAGCTGTCTTAACCGCGGCTTGTGTACTGCATCATCACTGTGTCTGTCACGCGACTCTGTTGCCCTTTCGGGCTTGAACTGATGGTAAAACTAACGACATTATTAACTGTCTTGATATTTACTTTGAAAGCTGAAGCTCGCGATTATGGTAAGGGGCGTTACATTTCTGACGCGTGCTTGTGATGTTCGGCCAATCACAATGCACTGGGTCAGCTGGCCAATCAGAGCAGACTGTGCTTGTCAAAGGAGGGGGCTTTGTTGAAAACGACGTGTTTGAGAGAGGCGGGGCATAGAGGACCTACAATAATGTACAGTATTTTAAAAATAATGTGTTTTTTGAACATTAAAGCATGTCAACATATTATGTTACACCAAATACACAAAATAATGATCTTTAAAATAGCATCATATGACTTCTTTAAAAGCATGAAATTGACTTTTTCTGTCTGCTGCCATTCATTTTGTTCATGCCGTTTAGAACACCACAATAGCAGCACAGCATAGAAACAACTCAAACAACTGCATAGCAGTATTGATTCACAAGCAGCTATACTGAAAATACAGAAATGTCTGTAGACTCTGGGATCAGAATTTCTGTTTGTTAAAATAATACAATAATTTCAGAAGCATAAACCAAAAAGTAGAATGCACATTTCTGATTGTGAATATCTGGTTAACTTGCTGCTAAGTGCCAAAAAGTCAAAGATTTGACATCACTAACCTGGAAATGATTATTTCTTCTTCAAAAGCACTTACTCAACACTGTAAACACAGCTTAACTTCCAGGTGGATCTCCAAAAGCAATCAGAATGAATGAAGATTTCAGACTGTTTTATTCCCCACGCGAGACGCATCAGGCAGTCAGTGAATGGACAGTGTGCTGGTGTGCCATCTAAAGTTGAGACCGGATCAGAGGGAACTTGAGGATCATCAACCTGAGAAGGCAGTTTGACCTCAGAACACTTCACATGCCTAGAAGCATCAATGGACACTTTTCCATAAGTAAAAACGTACTTCACCTCATCCTAGACTGGTTTAGTGCATAGCCAGCACATTTCTAATAGCCAAATACTGTGGAGAACTAAATTTATGTGACTGCTGCTCTAGTCTGAAGTCGCATTCATTCAGTTCTGCATCCAGTTTAGATCTTAAAATTGTTTCACATGCGTCAAACTCAGTGCAATTTGTTTGAATGACTATGCAAAAGCACTGCACTGTTAAATAATTATGACTCACTGTTATTTACATAAGAGCATTTTCATTGATTTGTCATCCCATTAACTTTTCCAATAACACTGCTGTAAGACTCCACACTTAGTCTGCCCTTCTCAGATGACCCTGTAAAAGCTCTTAGTTCTCCAATGTATGTCAGGAAGTAAACTCCTCTCCCTGGGCCAAGCAGATCTATATGGTATAATCTGGAATGCAAGGCTGAGGAAAATGCAATTTGAAAATGAACCGACAAATATGCAGTTATGGGCTGTTTGTACAGGACGAGTTCCAGCTAGACGGAGCACAATGCAATGAAAGAAAGGTAGCAAGAGATGCTTTTCAACTCCTTTTAACTTGACACATCCTACAGACGTAAAAAGAAATATATACATTGAGCTGAGCACCTGTTGTTTCACTGTAATTATGTCTCTTGTAGATAATGGTGACAATGGCAACAGACGGTTCAAAAGTTTGGGGTCGGTAAGATATTTAATGTTTTTGAAAGAAGTCTCTTATGCTTATTAAGGCTGCAGTTATTTGATCAAAAATACAGTAAAACTGTAATATTTATGACATTATTATATTACCATATAAAATACATACAAAATTATATTTGAATATATTTTAAAATATAATTTATGTCGCTAAGCTGAACTTTCAGCATCATTATTTCAGTGTCACATAATCCTTCAGAAATCATTCTATTATTTTGATTTGCTGTTCATGAAACATTTCTTATTAATAATAATAATTTATGCATTTAGCAGACGCTTTTATCCAAAGTGACTTACAGTGCATTCAGGCTATACATTGTTTTATACATTATTATTATCAATGTTGAAAACCTTTGTGTTGTGAAAATATTTTTTGGCAAAACCATTATACATTTTTTACTTTTTTCAAGATTCTTTGATAAATAAAAGTTCAGAATAACAGCATTTATTTGAAATAGAAATTTTCTGCAACATTTTTTTAATGTCTTTAACACTCTAATGTCACTTTAATGCATCCTTGTTAAAAATATTTTTTGGCAAAACCATTATACATTTTTTACTTTTTTCAAGATTCTTTGATAAATAAAAGTTCAGAATAACAGCATTTATTTGAAATAGAAATTTTCTGCAACATTTTTTTAATGTCTTTAACACTCTAATGTCACTTTAATGCATCCTTGTTAAATAACAGTAACAGTTATTTAAATAAATAGTTAACAGTTTTTTGGGGGGTTTTTTCAAAAAAAACTTACTGACTCCAAAATTTTGAACAGCAGCCTAAATAAAAAATGATTTCCTTAAAAAGGCAAAATGAAGTTCCTTTTCCACAGGCCACTGGTCAATATGTGTAAATCTTTACCCAAACAAGAGCAAATCCCAAGAAATCCAAAAACTGAGGAAATCTGACATGCTGGATTTGTCTGATGGCTCTCTTGTAATACTAAAGCCTTTTTGGTTGCCTGAAGAAGTTTACAGTTACATAAAACTTAAACTCAATTTCAAAAATGCGTAACAATCATTTTTGACATCCGTGTACTGATTAATACATTGCATAATGCTCTATCCTCGTCATAAACACTCACAAAAGTTTTGTGTGTCAAGATGTTTCCTGGCACTAGATGAGAACTACCTCTTGATTAGCATAATGAATTAATTCATTCCACCCTATTAACAGCATGTAATCCCTTTTTAGCAACCGAGCAGTTCACTTTCATGATCTGCTTTAGCACACTTACAACCAGTGGAAACAGCACAGAGCGCCACTAACATGAGCGAAGCATTTCTACTGAACGGAAGGGTTGAGCAGCTATTATACATCTGTTTGGGCAGGATGATCTCATTCATATTTATACACAAATTGTACATTTCTTGTACAGTTGTATGTATAATGTCAGTCACTTTAAAATAAAAAAATAAAATCAATCAATCAATCAAGTCCAACTATTTCAACTAAAAATATAAGCTGCTGCCTTACATTTTTTAAGTATAATCAAATTGGTTGTCATTTCAACTTAAAACTTCAACTTAAAAACTAGAAAAAAGTTGAATTTCATGCTTTATAACTTTATAATTCTACTTAATGAAATTGCTATATATATAGAGAGAGATATTTAGATATATTTAGAGAAAGACAAAAACAAAAGAAGATATAAAAGTTTGTGTCACTCTTTATACATATATTAAAAAAATGTATAATGTTAAAGTAGCCTAAATGTTACACTGATTAAATGTGATGGTATTAAATAATTGTATGCAATCAAAAATATATATAGCACAATCAATTTAAGTCAAAGGGATTGCTTCGAATTTTGCGAGAACACTGCGGATTTGTAAAGTTGAACATGTGTTAAAAGATTCATGTTTTGGAAGCTGTTGAAATATTCATAAAAATGTAAGTGAGCTATACTTTACATATGCAAATAAATGAATACTAATGAGATCATGTTGGAGGCAAAGACAACATAGGACACTACGTTTCTTAATGTACAATTAAACTGTACAATTACTGTTGAAATTAAATTTGACTGGTTTCTGGAGCAAAACTGATCTAAATTAAATTCAGCTTACTTGTGTTTTATGCAATAAACAAGACGTGTGATATGAAGAACAATATCAACATAAAGTGCAACCCTTCACCAGTTTCCATAGCTGTTCATACCAGGTGTCAGGCTCTCAGTCAAGTAATAGTCTTCAGGGTTGATGAACGGCAGCTGTTGCATCACAGACTCTTTCGGGATGAGGTACAACACTTCTGCCACACGTCCATCCTCTATGACAGATATGCGTTTGACAGAGTTTGTGCGTTTGATCCGGGTGCGATCCACATGCTGACTGCGTCCTGAGCCGCAGAGCTTTCCCAGGCTGTTCAAAGTGGGAAGGGAAGGCATGGCGGCGGTACCTCAAAATTCTCAATTAGTCCTCAAAAATACACAAACTAGGCCAAAAATGCTTAGGAATTAGTCTTTTCCACAATAGACTGAATAGCCAGGCTAAATGATAACCGATGATCTTCCAAAAAGCCCTTTGACTCAGCGGTCAGAGGTCACGTACCAGCAGGTGAGTCTGCAGAAAGGGCCAAACTCCAACCAAAAGACCTCTGATCTTCAGATTAACAAATCTTAAATCTTCAACCAAATGTGCTCTCGTCCCGATTAAGTGATTGCCAGATGTAATGCTCCTCACCTGAAAATGATACGCCTTACCTCTGCTTCAGGTGAAGACCACAGGTGAACCCCATGCCAGAGTGGAAAGTAAGAAGTGGTTCAAATAGCTCCTTGCCTTCTCCTAAGCGGATTAACCCTGACGTCTACTCTGTGATTATCCCTTGGATGGGCCAAGCAATGCCACCATAGCAGCTGCAATGGTACAAGCTACTTGGTGAGAGTTTGCCAACACAACTAAAAATACTCTCTTCTTAATCCAAATCAAGAATGGTCAGCGTTTAGACAATTCCCTAGCACTGTCTGCTTTCTATTAATAAACTCTTAAAAATAAAAGCCCTTTATTGGCATTTATGGTTCAATGAAGAACCTTTAACATCCACAGAACCTTTGCACTGCACAAAATGTTTTTTATAGTGGAAAAAGATTCTTTAGAATATTAAAATGTTCTTCCCAAAAATTTTTCTTTTAAGAACTGTTCACCGAAAAAGTTCTTTGGGGAGCCCAAAATGGTTCTTCTATGGCATTGCTGCAAAACCCTCCTTTATTTTTAAGAGTGTACAACTGAAATGTAATGCACAAGATTAGCTGGAAATACTTCAGTGTCACATAATCCTTCAGAAATCATTCTATTATTTTGATTTGCTGTTCATGAAACATTTCTTATTAATAATAATAATTTATGCATTTAGCAGACGCTTTTATCCAAAGTGACTTACAGTGCATTCAGGCTATACATTGTTTTATACATTATTATTATCAATGTTGAAAACCTTTGTGTTGTGAAAATATTTTTTGGCAAAACCATTATACATTTTTTACTTTTTTCAAGATTCTTTGATAAATAAAAGTTCAGAATAACAGCATTTATTTGAAATAGAAATTTTCTGCAACATTTTTTTAATGTCTTTAACACTCTAATGTCACTTTAATGCATCCTTGTTAAGTAACAGTAACAGTTATTTAAATAAATAGTTAACAGTTTTTTGGGGGGTTTTTTCAAAAAAAACTTACTGACTCCAAAATTTTGAACAGCAGCCTAAATAAAAAATGATTTCCTTAAAAAGGCAAAATGAAGTTCCTTTTCCACAGGCCACTGGTCAATATGTGTAAATCTTTACCCAAACAAGAGCAAATCCCAAGAAATCCAAAAACTGAGGAAATCTGACATGCTGGATTTGTCTGATGGCTCTCTTGTAATACTAAAGCCTTTTTGGTTGCCTGAAGAAGTTTACAGTTACATAAAACTTAAACTCAATTTCAAAAATGAGTAACAATCATTTTTGACATCCGTGTACTGATTAATACATTGCATAATGCTCTATCCTCGTCATAAACACTCACAAAAGTTTTGTGTGTCAAGATGTTTCCTGGCACTAGATGAGAACTACCTCTTGATTAGCATAATGAATTAATTCATTCCACCCTATTAACAGCATGTAATCCCTTTTTAGCAACCGAGCAGTTCACTTTCATGATCTGCTTTAGCACACTTACAACCAGTGGAAACAGCACAGAGCGCCACTAACATGAGCGAAGCATTTCTACTGAACGGAAGGGTTGAGCAGCTATTATACATCTGTTTGGGCAGGATGATCTCATTCATATTTATACACAAATTGTACATTTCTTGTACAGTTGTATGTATAATGTCAGTCACTTTAAAATAAAAAAATTAAATCAATCAATCAATCAATCAAGTCCAACTATTTCAACTAAAAATATAAGCTGCTGCCTTACATTTTTTAAGTATAATCAAATTGGTTGTCATTTCAACTTAAAACTTCAACTTAAAAACTAGAAAAAAGTTGAATTTCATGCTTTATAACTTTATAATTCTACTTAATGAAATTGCTATATATATAGAGAGAGATATTTAGATATATTTAGAGAAAGACAAAAACAAAAGAAGATATAAAAGTTTGTGTCACTCTTTATACATATATTAAAAAAAATGTATAATGTTAAAGTAGCCTAAATGTTACACTGATTAAATGTGATGGTATTAAATAATTGTATGCAATTAAAAATATATATAGCACAATCAATTTAAGTCAAAGGGATTGCTTCGAATTTTGCGAGAACACTGCGGATTTGTAAAGTTGAACATGTGTTAAAAGATTCATGTTTTGGAAGCTGTTGAAATATTCATAAAAATGTAAGTGAGCTATACTTTACATATGCAAATAAATGAATACTAATGAGATCATGTTGGAGGCAAAGATAACTTAACTAGGACACACTACGTTTCTTAATGTACAATTAAACTGTACAATTACTGTTGCTCAGTTGGTCTAAATTTGACTGGTTTCTGGAGCAAAACTGATCTAAATTAAATTCAGCTTACTTGTGTTTTATGCAATAAACAAGACGTGTGATATGAAGAACAATATCAACATAAAGTGCAACCCTTCACCAGTTTCCATAGCTGTTCATACCAGGTGTCAGGCTCTCAGTCAAGTAATAGTCTTCAGGGTTGATGAACGGCAGCTGTTGCATCACAGACTCTTTCGGGATGAGGTACAACACTTCTGCCACACGTCCATCCTCTATGACAGATATGCGTTTGACAGAGTTTGTGCGTTTGATCCGGGTGCGATCCACATGCTGACTGCGTCCTGAGCCGCAGAGCTTTCCCAGGCTGTTCAAAGTGGGAAGGGAAGGCATGGCGGCGGTACCTCAAAATTCTCAATTAGTCCTCAAAAATACACAAACTAGGCCAAAAATGCTTAGGAATTAGTCTTTTCCACAATAGACTGAATAGCCAGGCTAAATGATAACCGATGATCTTCCAAAAAGCCCTTTGACTCAGCGGTCAGAGGTCACGTACCAGCAGGTGAGTCTGCAGAAAGGGCCAAACTCCAACCAAAAGACCTCTGATCTTCAGATTAACAAATCTTAAATCTTCAACCAAATGTGCTCTCGTCCCGATTAAGTGATTGCCAGATGTAATGCTCCTCACCTGAAAATGATACGCCTTACCTCTGCTTCAGGTGAAGACCACAGGTGAACCCCATGCCAGAGTGGAAAGTAAGAAGTGGTTCAAATAGCTCCTTGCCTTCTCCTAAGCGGATTAACCCTGACGTCTACTCTGTGATTATCCCTTGGATGGGCCAAGCAATGCCACCATAGCAGCTGCAATGGTACAAGCTACTTGGTGAGAGTTTGCCAACACAACTAAAAATACTCTCTTCTTAATCCAAATCAAGAATGGTCAGCGTTTAGACAATTCCCTAGCACTGTCTGCTTTCTATTAATAAACTCTTAAAAATAAAAGCCCTTTATTGGCATTTATGGTTCAATGAAGAACCTTTAACATCCACAGAACCTTTGCACTGCACAAAATGTTTTTTATAGTGGAAAAAGATTCTTTAGAATATTAAAATGTTCTTCCCAAAAATTTTTCTTTTAAGAACTGTTCACCGAAAAAGTTCTTTGGGGAGCCCAAAATGGTTCTTCTATGGCATTGCTGCAAAACCCTCCTTTATTTTTAAGAGTGTACAACTGAAATGTAATGCACAAGATTAGCTGGAAATACATCTGTGCAGATTCTGAGAGATATAGATCAGTAATAATCCCATAAACTCCTTAACATTTTTAATCACAGGATTTTCTAATTTAGAAAGTCTAATTTCCAAAGTAAAGCCCATCAGAATGAAATTCAATCTGATGTAACAACAAAAAAGAGACTATATTGCAGCAATAAACAAAATGTTATTTTTTCCATATATGCATGCAGATTTTGTATTTTTGAGCAATACATTTTGTACTATTATTAATATAAACGCAATGCATAAACAGAGCTAAAATAAGAAAGCAAACTACTGTAGCCCAAATAATGTCTTGTGAGTCTAAAATTAGAGTAGAGATGCAACAACCATTGCAAATTCATGAATCGCACCCACACCTCTCCAGTTGTTCCTTCACCCCTGGAGGAAATAGGTGAGAACATATGGCCGTTAATCAACAGACTCGTCTCTCTGGAAAAAAAAAAAAAGAAGTCTGTTTATGCTATTGGGGATTGTCTCTTATACATACAGTATGTCATCCAGCCAATGTAAAATTAAAGTATAGAAAAGTATAGAATATTAATTTTACTAGATCATTATCATGAAATGAATAAATATATACTTACTGTATATATTATATTATTCATTATATAATAATTTATTAGGTAACACTTTAGTGTATGGACCAATTATCACTATGAACTAGTTGCTTATTAGCATGCCTATTATTAACATATTGGCTGTTTATTAGTACTTATAAAGCACATATTCTGTATATGACCATATTCTACATCCCTAATCCTACCCAATACCTAAACTTAAAAACTACCTTACTAAATATTAATAAGCAGCAAATTAGGAGTTGAGGCAAAAGTTGTAGTTAATGGTTTATTAATAGTGAGAATTGGATCTTAAAATAAAGTGACAATTTATTATAATAATACAAAATGCAACCAGAGCACATAACCTTTTGTAACACCCACATCCAAACAAGATATGATAAAAACTAGTTCAGTAAATGACATTGACATTTATCATTTGTAATTCAAACATTGTTTAGGAAACTAATCCTGTCCAAGAGTACTGTAGTCACTGTCATTGACTGAGATAATTCACCAAATTCTAATAAATCCTGGAGAAATGCACTAACCTACAGCCTTTATGAAATTACATGAAGAATCAAATTTAACAACAGACCCCGCGGAGGGTCTTTCTGCAGATGCATTAGAGAGGCTGTGCATCAGCAGTTTATGCTTATTAAACAGACACAGGCTGTGTTCCAAAACCTACAAAGATGCCTACCTAAGCAGCATTTCAAGAAAGGTTGTTCAAAAAGGTAATCTAGCTTTCTTTTGGCCAAATGGCTGCATCATATTTATCCTTGACAGAGAAGGTAATTCCGTAATGCAAAACTTTACTGAAAAATCTGGATGAAGGACACGGTTTATGATATATATTTTTGTGTGAGTAGACATTTACAATTCACTAAAAAAGAAAAAGAAAAAGAAAGAATCATGGAAAAATGGAAAATCATGTTCAATATTTGTGTCGCATTTA